CCTGAGTAAGCAACATGTTAAGACTACTGTACTAATACAATCAACCCATCAGCCGTTGTGATACGTGATGCAAAACCTATGGCTGAGCATCTCTTCATGCTGCCAGAACCCCTGTGACAGGCCTTAAAATATCTTAATGTCTTCATCTCTTCATGACTGTTGAAATAAGCGACGTAACGTTTGGCCTCGGTGAGCTCGTGAGGCAAACGGATAGTGTACAATCTCAAATGTACACTACTTATATACAAAATATCTACATAATTAAGATATATGTATCAATGAAACTCAGCCACAAAAATGCAAATATGACTGCGGGCAATGTCTGGATCGCGCTCACTCGTAAATCTAATTACAATATTCCAACACATGACCTCATCTCTACAAAGGCTACTCCGGCTGTAGAGAGCCATGGGGGGCGTAAGAAGCGGTGAAATATTCTTTATTCTTCGGTTGTAAACGGTGGTGGCGATGACAAGTAGAATTGTGGCAAGGAGGAACAAATATAATTTATTTAGTGAAAATAGAAATATATTTAAATTAACTTATTCCATTCTAAAAAATTTCACAATACTTGTTTCTTCAAAATTCAATGTGACGCGTGATGATAGGTATATCTCTTTTCTTAGCTTTGTGACGTGTAACTGAAGAGTTGATCGTATTAGGACAGTACGCTATTAGTAAAATACCCACGTGGCGATTATACTACTCCAACTTTCAGAAGTATAAACAGGTTGACTGCTGCGGCTCCAGACTTGCTCGAATGAGTAACGTTCAAAAATACTTCAATGTGAGTGAAGATCGTATGCTATCTCACCTAATAGCGTCTGATTAGGCCAGCAACCGTCATCAAAGCATATATGCATCACACTTGTAGCTTGAAGCTTGGAGCTCGACATGCTTGACAGTTGGGCGCTTCAAAGTCGGGCCCGGATAACTGCCGTTGATATTTATATCCTTACAGCGACACATCCTCGTGTTCTTCACCCGCCACTGACCGTGACATACAGATAACCCTCTACCAAGATCATTCTTGCTTGTCTCTTATCCCAATAAACACACACATATTATATCATTTAGTACGTGAATGGCCCTTCATAGGCCGGTACGCGCTGGGGATTGGATGATAAGCCAATTCAGTAGAACTGCATACAAAGATGTATGGCCTGGAGTTATCTTCTTTTCTTTAGTAGCGACTGGTAAGTTTACAATACTCTCTCAATAATACTGATGAAGTAGATCTTCTCAGTGGTTTGCGTGGTTTCGGACAAGACTAATCACAGTCTCGGGACTTCCAATCAACTTCTCGCCGTTCTTGGCACAGTACTCAGTTTGGTCATATCCTTTCGGACATCATCTGCATACGAGAGGCGAGTACTTGAATAAATGAAAGGAATGTTATTAACATCACATGTTACACTATGCAGGTATCAGAGAGGACGAAATATGTGGACAAATATATCGACGGCATCGCGTAATCTTGCACAAATGGTCAGTTCTCCGGTGACTGAAATTTTTTGTATTCTCATTGCGCCTAGATATGGATTCACGTATCAGATAACAGAGAAGGGGTGGATGGTGAGCCCCATCAAGTAATCCTTCGGACCGTGGTTGAGAAAAGGACCATGATCAATCTGGTACTACTTGCTCGTATGCATTGTTTCTATATATACCTCTACTATTAATGTTTATTTTTCAGATTCTCGCCTTTGCCGTTTCTTTAAAAGTGTGTATCCTTCACTTTTCACTTTGAAAGTATGCTTTAATTGCCTGAATAAATTACAGCATCTACTTAGGGGAGAAGAAGGCGTATATTATACTGACCTATTCCCATTGGTATCTTGTTTGCCGCGATACGCGAATATCCCACCGACAATTCCTACTGAGGCTGACATTTTACCACTCTGGTGGACACATGGAGCGGAAGCAGGCTATCCGCATTCTGACGGGAGCTCAATGATCGATTCGGAGAAAGTACCACTTGCAAAAGACCTTGAAGATACGACTCCTAAACCAGCGAAGAATCCTTTGATTTGGAAAACGACCATTTACGACCACATTGCGCTGTTGCGCTTCTTGAGGTGGTGCATTCTGAAGACATTTCAGCTCCCACCTCCCCGTGAGACTAAAGGGCCCAAGGGTCAGATTACTGGACTCGTTGGGAGCCACGTTCCACTGGAGATTTGGCTTGTACTTTCCAAGTAGGTTGTCTTGCTTTACGTACGGTATTTTGTTTAGTAAAATAACATTTGTTACAGCTACTCTGGATGTACGTTGTATGTGTCTCTCATTTATCACAACACAAGTAAGAGGAAGCAATTTTATCAGGGCTTATGAAGAAGAAGCTACTGGAGCCTGCAATTGCGACAGGAATGACCAATAATCTGACGGTTCTCCAAGATACACTATCGAATTTAGAAACGATATGCAATACACCCCTCCCATTCGAATATCGAATTCATTTGAGGATATCCCTTTGGTTTGTAGTTCCCTGTATCGCAGTGATTCATTACTTAATTTCATTCTAGGCTTTATCTTTTCTTCTTGCCGGTGAATTATTTTGTGCTTTGATTTCTGTAGTAAATATTATTAAATTTATTGAATAATTTACAGTGGCAGATCTACAGCTCCTTCAAGTATGCCACGATACCTGCGACAGCCTTTGTATCGTTCTTGCTCATTGGATTCCTCGAGATTGGGCAGCAAATGTGTGTGTTTACTTTTTTTTTATGTAACGGAAACTGAAATACAGATGACACGAACCATTTTCTCTTCTCCAGAGAGAACCCGTTCAACTATGGTCTGAATGATCTTGGTAGGTTTCCGTTCGTGAACCCCGTATTATTTATTAATGATTCATTTTACTAGAACTTGATCATTTCTGTTTTGCTATCCAACGGGATCTTCACGAAATTACTACAGTAGGAGGTGCTCTAACCATTCTTTCCCATAATGATGATATTTCTTCAGCATATCATGCGTGAACCTTCTGAATTATTTAACGCATGGTACACATTACGCTGGCTACATCATGTATCTGGTTATATTTCTCATTCATATATTTCCAGGAATAGACCATTCTCACCAGCAGATCAACGTAACGCAGCAGAGCTCACGAACCTCGAAGGAAAATATACCCGTCCATCTGACTCTCGTTTAGGAGAACCGGGTATCGATAGTATTCGGCGAACTTTGATGCAAGGGTGGAGAGAGGTCGATGTACAGACACGATCGAATGATTATTGAAGAATTTATTAAGTATATGGCACTAAAAAGAGTATTTCAACATACAATTTGCATACAATAAACACGTTGTAGATTCTCGATGCATGGTGCATGGTAACTTAGATAGCTGTACGCCGTCGCCGTATTTAGAGGTTTACAGGCCCCGCAATACGGTTATCGTAGTACGGTTTGGCGCCATACTTGACCATAAGACTACGGCCATAACGGCATCATACGGTAGTACGGCGTCTCGTTTTCTTACTATTTATTAAATCCTTCATCAACGTGTGCAAAGTGATGTTAAGCGCGTTTTTCTATTTCCCATTGTTATATGTTATACTAAAACTGCCCCTGAACTACTACTGTACTCAAATGTCACATCATTAACGGTTCCATTGAAAGAAAATCACAGAAAATCATTCTCTTCGCTCTCTTACTGGACAGAAACCTCTAAATATGGAGTATTTCCCCTTGGGTTTATCACTAAATGTCGGAAATTATTTATCTCGGTTGCAACCGAGCGCCGTTACAACCGGCCTTGCAACTGAATTGGAAACGAGCTAGATCGGTGATAACGGCCCGTCCGGTGTTAACCGGTCACAACCAGCCTTAGCTTGCAATACATTGCAACCCGTGTTCCAATGACCGTCTCAATGCACATTTAAGAACCATGCCATTTTCACGAACCCGTCTATCTAGAACACATCCGCAGCCATTTTGCCAAAGAGTGAACCATTTCTGTCACATTCATACGGTATCGAGCCCCGTCCCCTGTCGACGCTTCCTGCTGCGTCCAACAAGCGATCATACTGCCATATCGTACCAACAACTGTCATGTACTGTGGGCCACAAGATCAGCGAACCGATTTTCAGCTGCAGCCGCAGAACGACCAACAATGGCGATACGTAATTAGCTTCAGTCATTGAACAACCAACACTATCTATCTGCACATCCTTATGCAAGGTTGAATGTTTCTGTCATGGTTCTAGGACAATTAACGGTGCCAAGCTACCCGTATTGATGATGCAAGCATAGATGAATACCAGCATACCAGCAAGGTATCTCTTTGATTGGAAGTTTGCTTACCATTGCCATTGAAACATGAACGAATCGTCTATATGTTACCGCATACTTTCGAAAATATCTTGCGGGATACTCCTCGAGTATTAAGAACCACCAACAAGTATGGCGAAATGACGATTGTCAGATAGCTAGAAACTGTGTATCCCGAGCAACTGGAGCGTCTGATCTCTGCAATGGCCTGTGATGATGCCCTTCCGAAGAGCAGGTTCAGGGTCTTGAGAGCTCTCATCAGCATGGTCAGGGTGTGTAGCTTTTAGCGCTCCTGATGGTCACTATTACTAGAGCGACACCACGTTTGCACTGGACGGACGACGCACTATTCAAGGTGCACATATTATTCCATATGACCTCCATTAATATTTTTTGGACTATCGAGTTTCTGAACATCCCAGTGCTTATTAACGCTATGTCCTTGAACGTGGTTATACCAAAGCTCATGCCTTGTCTCCTCACCCTCCAGTATCTGTCTTGCTGGCCCTCGATTATTTTACTAGTATCTAGTCAGTTTGTTATTACTTGTGTCATTCTAACTTGATCCTTTACTTCAGCTTCTACGAGCGCAGACACTTTCTGCATGGTAGTTATTCCTATTATGTCGTCTTACATTGGTACAGATAAACTCCTAGAGTGACAAAGAACCATAATACATGCCTTTCTGCGACATCTGGAATCATAACTGAGGGATAAAAGATACTGACAAGAGTGGGACTTGAACCCACGCCACATTACTGTGATGAGAACTCGGATTTCGAGCAAGCTAATCGCTTGAGTCACACGCCTTAACCGCTCGGCCATCTTGCCATATATTTAGAATTATTCTGAGACTCCCTTTTTGGCTAAGTGGTTAATGTGTTATGGTTGGGACATGTTTCCTCACCAGCTTCAGGCCTGTGATTTACTTGAGGTATCTTACAACTATGATCGTCACTGAAAATGAAACCTACTTATTTTCGCCGTGTTGTATTTTTTTTGCTAAGTTTTGTGTCAAGATGCTTTTTGAACCGGTGAAACATCTGCTCAGTAAATAGTATCCAATAATTATTTGCAAAGTATTAGGGCGAGCATGAGGACTTGCCATGGGGCATGAAGCGATGTCAGGAAATATTTTATGTAAAAGGGTTATCAGTCTAGGCAGGACTCTTGTCAAGTGTACGGAGAGGAAGGAAAGTAAGCGAAAATGAACTAGGATCTAGAAGTACTTTTAAATTAAAATTAGTGTGATGTGTACATATCGAACCTAGAAGATCGGTCATGTCGCAGATTCAACTCTTAAGATCTCACATGCAAGACACATGCAAAGGCTGACGCGCTAAAAAATTAAAATAACTCAAATGCACCAAATGCAGTATCAAAGGATGACCATAATAATAACCAGTATGGACTGAACTTGGAGGCAGCATGTTAAATTACTTAAAGAGTGAAGAAAATGAGAAGTAAATATGTACCAAAGTGACAGGATGCGCCAGGATCTCTAAACCAGATCTGTCTGAACAAGCTTATTTAAACATTTACACAGTCTCCATAGCTCAGTGGTAGAGCATGCGATTGCAGCACACTGCTTGTATCGCAGGGTCAGGTGTTCGAACCACCTTGGGGACTTCTATGTCAGAGGAAATCTTTTACTATGAGATTCAGAGTAGTTTTAGAACCCATTCTCATGTGGTAACCCTAAAGGTCGTACGCGCCACCCGTTCTTTATGGTTATCGTAAGTACGACATTTAGGATTTGATTAGAACTTGCGAATGCTGAACTAAACTTAGAGTAATAATTATATGACAACAGCTCCACGAGAAGCCAACGAATTCAGTAACGTGCATATAATCTAGCAGCCCGTAGGAACGGCAAAGTTATTAACATAGCTAGCGCTGACAGCGTTAGCACCGAGACCGCGGCTAGCGAATGCTTTCCAGAGAAGACACTTGTTAGCATCTCCGTATCGATTCTGGTCAGCCTGGATCCATGCGGCCCGTGCAGTGACAACTGAATCGGGATGTTTTGATGAGAAAAGGCTACCATCGAACATCGAAACGTACGTACATGTAGGGTTACAAGGTTGTAATGCGAGAGCATCGAGGAAGAGATGGAGGTAGACGATGTTGCCTTCCGTGCCAGAAGGATTCGTCCTTGCAGTCGCTGACCATCCATACTGGGAGACTAATGCAGCGTAGACATTGTGTAAGATGTTAGCCCAGACCTCACCGATTCCTGTTCGATAAGTTAGAAAATGTGTGCCAGTGAAGAACGAATTAGACAAACTATTTACAGCCGTGAGTGACGCAATACTTGCATATGTTAAGCTATTAGTAGCTCTGAGTGGTAGAGTTAGTAAAGCCCTGCTACGGTCGTTTAAGCAGACATACTTGGAAGTAGAGTATGGTTTCGTGCGGATACCGGCTGCGGTGCTGGTAACATAATCTCCTAACACGAAGTCTTTGACAGTTGCGGATTTGTGCTGAGTCTACTCGGCCAATGCGTCAGACCAGCCCTCTCCAAGACCACCAGCCTCAGTGGTCTGCAGGCAACGACCAGTTCCTCCACCAGTAAGACGGTTGATAATACCGTGGGTCATCTCATGAACAACAATATCATTCTCTAGGGAGCCATCACGATTGGGCTAGACGAAGAAGTTAGAGCATGTGAGAAACACTAAAAGAAAGATTCGCGTACAGTAGTGTACGTCCAGATGTACATGCGGCAAGTTCCAGATTGGCCACTGCAGGGAATAGATGATTAGGCGCTTATTCAATTGTGAAACGAGAAGACATACTCTGGAGGTGTGGCGAAGTTAGCATTATTCGTTCCAGAAGTATCCTGGACGGAGATCTTGACGCGATAGTTGGCGCTTCCGCCCTTTCCGAAGTTGTTATTCTGGAAGTTGAAAGCAGCCTCAGTGAAACCGTATCTATATGCAAAGTCGTGCACGACGTTGATCGTGTAGAAAGCGTTGACGCGTGCAGCGTTCAAGTTAGCGGTCGTAGTAGGGGCCTGGGTGGGGTCGTAAACGTAATTGAAGTCAAGGCCGGTGGAACTCTAAGTGGTGGTCGCAGTGACGGAGGTCTTGTATGCGACGACGTTATTACCCCTGAGGAGAGTTTTTAAAAAACGATGATTAGATAACATGATAGAGACGTACTCGGTGGTTGTGTAGTTGGTGGTTCCAACGCTATGCCAACCATAAGGGGACGAAGTCAAGTCCTGAGGATTGGTCAAGGTCTCAAGACCTTCAGTAATGATCTTCTTGGTGATAGGAAGAACTCTGTACTGTAAAAAGCATACTCAGGATACGGTTTGGGATTCAGAGAATGAACGAGACATACGGAAGCATTAGATGTGAAGTCGGTAACAGAAAGGAGCTCGCCAGTATGGGCGTCGACGTAAGCTTCGAACCAAGTGTTGAACTCCTCGTTCTGGATCTGGACGACATGAACGAGTGCAGCAGTACCGTCGGGTCTTGCAAGGTACTCAAGAGTCGTGGGATGGTTGTTGTATTTGCCGCCGAGAGAAGCCTCGATCTTGGACAAAAACGAGCTGACTTCGACGGTAGGATTGGCCGACGCGATTTTCTCTGTAAAAAGTCAGTATAGTAGATGAGAATTAGAACTAGGATAAACACACTGGACTTCACGAATGATGAGCCGAATGCAACGACCTTGTCGTCCTTCCAGGAAACGTTGGCCACAGCGTTGACGAAAGGTAGGTTGTTCTAGAGAGTATCTTCAATGAAGTATCATGTAATACAGATGGATACTTACAGCGTATTGCTTGACATACGCAAACTTCTCAGATCCAGAAGCGAAACCACTCTTATAGCCAACGGACTTGGAATCGACTCCAAGACGAGAGCGAACGAATTCGATAGCGGTTCTTCGAGGCGACTACCAGCACGACGAACGATTGAAGCATCGAGCGCAAGTCCAGCGCCAAATGTCTTTTGAAATGTGTAAGCTATAACGTCTTCTTAGGACATTGTATAAACTTATCTCGAAGCTTGTGTCCGGATGGTAAGTCTCCAAATTTAGCTCGCGGGTAATCTGCCTTGCACGGTGGGTCGAATGCTTCACAGAGGCGGGCGAAGGGGACGGAACAGCATTAGAAACGGAAGCGTAAACAACGGCGAGAAATACAGAGGCAAAGAATTAGTTGAATTTGACCATGGTGGACTGGAGAGGGGACCTAAGGAGTAGATCAGGAAGGAGAAGAGTCCAGAAGGTCACTTGGAGAATCCTCGACAAACCTCTACATTCTTTATACGATTCACAATAATTGGGCCAAGAGTTGTAGATAGTTTTTTTCCGCAAAATTTCGAGGTTTCTGCAAGCCTCGCATGGAGCGCACGCCAATAAGCGTGGCTCTACAACTTGCCCAGGCTGAATGCCGCATCGACGAATGTAAACACCATTACTCACAAATGCGTCGAACTTTGACCAGATGACGACTTATCAGTCATGTAATCGGTATCATGCAACTCGCAACTGCCCAGAGAAAAAGTCGTGTGGAGAGAAGCGCTCCATCGGAATACAGGCGTTGCTAATATCGAAGTATAGAGGCGGTGAAGGTGCTTCCGCTAGGTGTCCTCATGGAGGGCAAGTTGAATTCCATGCATTTCTAGTCACAGCTGATCATGATCCTTGGATCTGTCTGGACATAGTTTCAGAGCATGCATCGTTTGCTCTAATGTGTCCACACGCTGTTCAGGATATTGGTTTACACTCGTGGGCACCTAGAATTCAAGGTACTCAGCATCTTTCATTCTCCAGAAGAACTCGGACTCTGTAAATTTGCCTAAAGTCATAAGGACGATTCAGCTAGTCCACTGGAAGTTTTATCGAGCAAGGCACACTTACTGAAAATTAAATACCACGGATAGATGGGTGCCAGTAGTCCATGCGATAAGCTAGCAGAAGACTAGCATTCCCGGCACATCCTTTCGTCGCATGTACCGTCAAAGACCATGTAAATGCCAAGCTATAATGTCCCTCGGATGATTGCAAGTCGCACTGAGTCACGAGCTACGGCGCGCGGACCATTGAATTCAGTCTCAACAAAAGCTTCCGATGCCGATTTAAGCCCTTCGACGACGTCGAGAACATCGGCAAGCATCAAGAGAAGGCCTTCTACGGATCCTTCGAACCCAGTGAACGGTTCGTTTGAGCGCCTTGAAGGGTTATCTGTTCTTATTCTAGAGCTTTAGTCGGCAATCGACTCATCTAGACTGCACACTACATATCAATCGAGTCAGAAGGGCGGAATTGTCAAGTCATTCCAAGAAAACGCGCACCATTATGTCGCTTCGTCTTCATCATTGGTTGCCTGGAAGAACTTTGATACACACGCATCTGTATAGAAGGCTAGCATCATTAAATACTCATATCTTAAAGGTGGCGCAAAGAATGAATAAGTACGCCGGCGTCAGTCGTGGACAAGGCAGCGGTCAGTCGATCCCGTCATCCCAACATGGCTGGAATGTGGAAGTGAACGTGTATGTAGGTGAAGGTAAATCTCGGCTGACACCAGAGTAGTAAGAACCAGTTAGGTGGATAAGATAGAAGTGTGTTTGATGTAAGCAAAATAAATAATCTAATATACAATGAATACACGTCAATTGATCCCGCTCCCAAAGTCCTAAGGAAAAAAACGGCTGTTTACCATAGTCGACGAATTCCGCTACGCTGGTACACAGTCAGCGGGCACAGCTGGATCATCGACGAAGTTCTTCGCGGTGAGTCCTAGGCCACGACTGGCGAACGCGTTCCAGAGCAGACATCTGTTGGCACCTCCGAACCGGTTGACATCGGCTTGAAGCCAGGCGTCTCGGGCTGCGACGACTGCGACGAGCAAGTTAGCAGCGAGCTCACGGAACAAAAGGACATGACGAACATGTTGGATTACATGGCTGGAGAGCCAACGCATCGATGAATAAATGCAAGAAGACAATGTTGCCCTCAGGACCGGTGGGGTCAGCTCGAGCAGTGGCGGACCATCCGTATTGAGCAACGAGGGCAGCATAGACATTGTGCAGCATGTTAGCCCAGACTTCTCCGATGTCTAATCGACGTTCATTAAGATTTCAGTGATATGTATTGGAAAGACGTACTATGGACCTCGTTCAGCTTTGCGATACTGGAGTAGCGGAGGGGGTTCACAGCACTGTTCACAGCATCATGAGCGCTAAGTTTCACACAAAACATGCGAACAGGGAACTTACGGGTCAGTAGAGTAAGGATGTGTCCTAATACCAGCCGCACTATTGATAACATACTGGCCCATAACGTAGTCAGGAACATCCGCGCTCTTATGTTCTGTCCACCTGTGTGGCGATAGATGATTAGTCAATGTTCGGTGGGTTTACGGGCAGAACCCACTCAGCCATGGCATCAGACCATCCTTCACCCATACCGCCAGCCTCCGTCGTCTGCAAGCATCGTCCAGTTCCACCACCAGTCATACGGTTAGTGATGCCGTGGGTCATCTCATGGGTGATAATGTCGTTTTCGACGGCGCCGTCGCGTTGAGGCTGGACGATGGTATCGCATTAAGGAACGATATTTCAGGACGAAAGATAAGAATACTTACAGTGGTACGAGTCCAGAGGAACATTCTACAAGTTCCAGATTGACCGCTGTGCATAGGAAGACTATCAGCAACCGCCCGTCACAGATTCGAATGTGGGGCGACTTACTCGGGAGGCGTAGCAAAGTTAGCATTATTCGTGCCTGACGCATCCTGGACACTCATCAACACCCGATCTCCGCCCTTCCCGCCCTTGTCAAAGTTATTCACTTGGAAGTTGAACGCAGCCTCCGTAAAACCATACTTGTATGCAAAGTCATGCACGGTGTTAATGATATAAAACGCATTGGTTCTCGAAGCATCGATGTTAGAGCCAGCAGTGGGTGCGATGGTGTCGTCGTAGGTGTAGTTGAACCCAAGTCCGGGGGCGTTCTCGGATGTTAAGGCTGTTTGGGAGGCTTTGAATGCAATGACATTGTTTCCGCTGTTAAGAAGTAAGAAGTTAATGCTAGTTGATCTCTGGGGCGAGGTCAGAAACGTACGCAGTAGTAGTAGTATTGGTGGTTCCATCGTTATGCCACCCCAGAGGCGAACTATCCAAATCTTGCGGATCAACAAGGAGCTCCTGTCCCTCCGGCAAGGTCTCCTTCTGGATGGGAAGCACGCGGTAGGCGTTGTGCGCTACAAAGTCCGTCCCACCGACGACTTCACCAGAGTGAGCATCGACGAAAACCTCCCACCAGATGCCTTCGTCTGCGTCGTTCTGCACCTGGATGACGTGCACGAGGCTGACGCTACCGTCTGCGCGAGCGAGCCACTCTAGTGTTGGCGGATGGTCGTTGTGCTTTGCGTCAAGCGCAGCTTCGGCGATGGGAATAGCGGAGGCGATCGGGATACTAGGTGTCGAGGTAGGGATTGCGTCTGAGTGATGGCGCCGTTAGCGGAGCTTCTGAAGGTTTGTAGTGAGATCATACCTGGCGTGACAAAGGAAGAACCGAATGAAACGACCTTGTCATCTTTCAAACCAACATTAGCAACTGCGTTGGCGAAAGGGATTCCATCCTATTCAATGATGGCATCAGTGTGTGGGGTTCTGAGATTGCATAATAGAGCAAATACGTACATGAACCTGTTTTAGGAATGCATACTTGGCAACATCGGCTTCAAAGCCACCCTTGTATAGGACATTCTCAGAGGAGATACCCAGTTCACTAGCAACTACGGACGTCGCGGTGTCTTCAAGACTGGAAGGTCCGAATGAAGTGGGTGCGGGAACCCCAGCACCGAAAGTCTGTAAATGAATAATGATCAATAACATCTACGACCGTAAGATCAACAAGTCTATATCACCTTGAAGTTAGTCTCTGGATGGAAAGTCTCGAGCGTGATTCCACGTTTGAGCATGCGAATGCTATGTGTGGAGTGCTTCGAAGCCAAACCAGCAGGAGAAGGAGAAGGCGCAGCAAATCCTGCGGCTGAGGAAGCACAGGCTAGCGCCAGAAGAACTGAAGTGAGCAGTCCGTTGAAAGAAAAAGCCATCTTAACAGGAAAACGCAGGGTTTGGGATGCATTTCACAAGGTCGGTGCCTGCGCTTTTATCTTCATTCAACCAGCACAAAAGCCCCGTGCATCACCTGCTTCGACACCCCCACCTTCATCTCAATTCCAACAGTACGACCAACAATCAGCCGGGATACCCTGCCACCGGTAGTCGCGTGTTCCATACACTGCAAGAAGAGATCGCGTGCTCGAAGCACTCGAGAAGCACAGAATGTGACTTATATATAGCACTGAGCTGCGTAAGATGAGGCCTGCTGCATTCTGGCAGAGTGTGAGCAGATAGTAGTAACGCGGACTAAAGGCGGAATGAGCGTACCTTTTAGCGAACAAAATACCCATGCCAACGAGGCAGCATTGCATGTCCATGAGCTGGGCAGTCGTGATTCGAGACATAGCTGGGCCATAGAGTAGCTATCTAGCTGCGAGATTTCGTAGGCCGGAAAAATGGCGGTCCGAGTGTAGCTTTGAATTGCGATGTCGGTTATCGTCGCACTCCATTTGCTCGAATCGTGCTCGTCGACGACCAGCGTATCGAGCTCCGTTTCACGTTCCTACAAGATCTCCACATTGATTATCATTGCTTCTTCGATACGCATGATACTAGTATATTCCCGCATGCTAAGGAACGTGTAGCAGCGCGCAATGCGGTGCTTCTTTCTTCGATAAGGGCTTGGCCTTGGAATGGGCGTGTGCATCCTCAAGAATTGCCTTGCGTTCAAAATCCTTCCTAGCAACTTTTGTCAGTACCTTCGATGTGCTTCTTGCGGAAACGACGAGTGGGCCGAGGTGGAGGGGGGTAACTCGGGATTCAACGTCTAACCTTCGGTTCAAGGCCGTACTATTATCGACCACGCGTGTTATGAACAATGCTTGGTGTTATTTACTCCTAAAGCTTCTGCCACTGCAGTATTACTATATACGTGGTCGGCTGGCTCAGTCTCTCCAGTCTCGTTATTTACTAATGAATTGAGATGCTTACCAACGCCATTACTAAAGTAAAAATAATAAAAGCTTAAAAAATCAAGTCCCCAAGGTGGTTCGAACACCTGACCCTGCGATAGTCGTGAGTAGCTGCAATCGCATGCTCTACCACTGAGCTATGGAGACGTTGTATTATAAGTACAAATATACATCTACTATTAGTGAAATAATAGTACAGTTACATTCGAAGTAAATGTAAGGAAAGCAGAGCCGAGTTCCATCGATACACAACCATACGGTAAACAAATCCCTTTTATCAGCCGCTGAAATATTTAGGAAATTTGGCTTGCAATTGATTATACGCTTCTTCTGCAGCAATTGCAGATGCTTTAGAATTATTTGAACCTTCTCCTCTTCCATATTCAATGTCATTGACTGAGCGTCATGAAAACATTGTCAATGTCTCGTAGACTAGCAATTAAGCTCAAAATTGTACTCACGATAAATGATGACGGTCCATGTGGGCCTATGTTGTGGGCCGGCTAAAAATTCTTCACAGTGCATCGTCCAGCCCGCCCTTTGGCAAAAGTTGTTCACTTCAGTTTTATAATCTAAGAATCAAAAATGGACGTTAAAACGAAGTTGGTTTGATTTAAAACGAGTACTGACGAATCATGATATTGAAACTGTTGGATGGATTGTGTAGGGCTCCCTCGATTCCATTACCTCGCATTTATATATCTCGAGTCCAAGTACGACAACAGCGATAAAAGGGAGAAATTAAATTAAATAACAGCTCAGATATTCCTCCATTCTACGTTAGTGTCGATGAAAAGCCAAGCTTACATCATTTTCCGTCTATGGAGACAATATTCTCCGCAGCCACTTGTAGCAGCGGAATGCAATATTCCCGAACAGTTAACAATATATGGCCTTTCTAAACAGCATTATCTTAAATCATTTATCACGCCACATTACGTAGAAAAAGAGTTCAAAGATGTTATACAAGCAATATCCAAAACTAGTGCTACAAATTGTCCATGGCTGGAGTATGACTAATTGCTACAAATTAACGATCAAGTCCTGATCAGAACATTCTAGTCCAGAATCAATATCCAGGATATGTTGCCCTAAGCTGGCAATAGGCCTGATATGCGGCATCCTCGGCGGCATCGTTACGACTCCGACCGCTACCCCTTCCCCATTCAATATCATTGACTTCACGTAGGATTAAAATGAGTTAATCGACACAAAAAATGTAGACAGGGGACTCACTATAAAGAATCACGGTCCATGTTGCATTATGCTGAGGTCCAGTACAGATAGGATCGAAATTCAATTTCCAGTGATACCGTTGACAGAAGTTGTTCACTTCCGTTCTGTAATCTAGACGATAAAACAAGATAGAAGATTGATGTTAGACTGCGTTGCGTCAAATAAAGTAAATACTAACGCATGGATGTCATATCGTTATGGAAAGGTTGTGTGTGGCGAAGTGGGAGGTGTTTTGGATGATCTTTTACGTCGCTCGTTCCAAAGCATTTTATGGCCATCGATCCAACTACAGCGGCAAGAGAAAGAGAAAAGACAATTTACAGCCCACTATGACTCAATCCTTCTGTACGGACCCAAATTGAATATACTTCATTTTTACTCGGACAAGCGAGTGCAACGGAAAGAACGATGATGCTCGCAGCACCGGCACACACACTATCCCGCGCGAGGATATCGTTAATCATCCACCGAAACAGCATTGGTAATCGGTGAGCTCCTGAAAACAACAGCTAAGCTTGAACGCATTTGGAGAATTCATTCGTGCCGCAGTGCGTCAACGGATGAACTGTGTGGTAAGGAGGGCGCATATGCTTACTTCTTGTCACTGCGTCCGACACGGATCGGGTAAAAGGCGCACTATTCAATAGCGCACATACCTTTCCTGGAGGTAAGGCGCATCAAACGTCGGTATGCGCTAAATGGTGTGCATGGGTGCTCCAAGGCTATGCAATGCCAGCCGGCAGAAGCGGGTATGGGTGCTGGCTGTGTTTCTGTGCATGTTATTATCGTAGTCGTGCTCATGAGCTGTAGAGCACGTGTGTAGTTTTCACACCGCTTCACGACGTGACTTGGACCCTCGGCGTGCGACGAGGTACTTGTGATATGTATTCCAAATCAAGCATTGTTATTGTCCCTTTTGGAATAACGCGTTGATGACGCAGATTACTCAGGTCGCTAATACCTCCGCCATGCATTCCCATTCATTAGTAAAGCTACTACTACTAGCTGGTTGTAAGTAGAAGGGAGAAATGCAGTAGTTTTAAGTAGTACTAGGATCACAGCCAGAGTTTAAATGAAGGTGCGAATATAAGTATAAACAAAGATGCATTTACTAGCAGAGCAATCAACTACAACAACAGACAGTTATCTACCATACTGCTGTATATATTGAGGTAATCGATGGCTCTCCGGGGTATTATACTATGCAAATCTAATAAGCAGCATTTCAAGTGTCAAAATTAAACTACGAACACTTGCATATCAAATGCGTGACCGTGACTCCTTATTGCTTAGAATTTTAGCAGGAGAGACAAATGAGCATAATATACCATTCATTGTGGCCATAAACTGAATGTCCCAAAATATTATATGCACGCATATAAAGGGTAGTTAATAATACATGGAAGCACTATAAGGTGTATAGGTAAGGCACCGTCCACAAAATATTATTTAAGGCTATAAGAATTCGAATCGCTACAGTGTTATTTACATGAGCAAATTTTGTCCTAATTTCCCAAATACTCAAAAAACCGTATAGAGGTTCTGAAAGCACCCACACAATCATTGCGACCTCCCTGCATGACGAAGGACACGGAAAGCCAGACAACAGAGGCTGTGAATGAATAAACCCTCGACGAGAACGGAGGTTACGAAGATCTTGACATAGCCAGTCGAACGCCCTCCCCCACTCATCTATGTGACGGGCTCGCTATAGTGCTATATCACTCGGGCCTTGAGACATGGGGTGACATCAGGTAATCTGGTTCTCTCACCATCAGTATGAGTCTATAGCAACGTCGTGGTGTCTCGTTATAAGGCTAAGCATATTTGTCTTCAACGGCATCTATAGATCATAAATTCCTAGTGTCTTCGTGTGCCCCACCAATACAAGAGATGGTGATTTGAAATTTTTGATAAAAGATGAATTAGAGCGCTAGCCAAGTCGGCATGTGGTTATATCCGAAACTAGCACTTCGCCCCTGTTCAATCTTATCGATAGCAGAAAGCGGTCAAAAAGGTTCAGTAAGCTGGCAAATAGTACCAAAGCAGTGGAGAAAGCGAGGTTAGATATTGAAATCCCTTGTCGATGTGCGTGGTCGGTGTGTGTCCAGCGGGATGCATCAAGATGACGTTTTCTGCCGAGCTCGACGGAGCGAGTACAGGCAGATAGATCGGAATATGGATTGCGCTTGGAATATATCACGCGGAGATCATTACGAGCCGGCTCTTAGGAGAACAAAAAAGTAAACCCTACTATCGCATAACCCCCTTTTACCAGCTACACAGTTTTATCACCTCTTATAACTCACTCATTTCTAGTTTGTTGTCATGATTATTTGAAATAAACGCCTTGGACGTATAAAAAACTATCTGTCCAGATTTCCTAAATTCGAAACTATAATGACAAGAAAAAGCATACTAAAAATCCGTCGAAAGCAGACTCCCGCAGCCGGGACTATGCTTCTGTCCTTCTCACTCGATCTTTGCTTAATTTATTTTATATATATTCACATTTATCAAAAAGAATCTGCGCGACAATCCTTCTCTTTGAGTATATATTCGTGAAACATAAACAATTCTATCTGATCTGGTAGAAATAACCTGAGCGATAGTACAAGAGACAATGAACTAATCTGGTGGATGTAACTAGATCACCGATCTGCGACAAGTTGCGTAAAGCAATCTGAGAGGCATGTTCAAGAAAGGAATGCTCCAGATATATTGCACTTCTTCACTCATAGGAATTGGCAAATATGTTCATCTATCATAGAGCAGTAAATTCACAGGCGTGTACACAGAATATTCCACGTAACCGACACTGGGTTTAGCACGACATCCTACTATGCAGCTGAAGGCGAGGTGAATCATCTTTTAAATCGAGAAACTGAGAGTTCATTGATAGGAGTGAGGTAGATTGCACAATATTTCTAGCACAAGGTAGATATCGAGCAGAACATAGCTGGTGACAAGCCGAAGGCAGAATATGAATATCTGATAGTCTGGAAGCGGTCGACCAACACGATGTTCGCGAACCTGACAAAGAGGCTTCGAACGAGTACATAGACATGTCGAGCTGCTGCTGTTGCTCTTGAGAGTAATTTCGGGCTGGACAACGCAACTTCAACGATGCGCAGAACAGAGGCACTGCACATTGCGGGATAAATTAGCCTCCTTTAAGACGCAGGATGCGTCACTTTCGTTAGATGCAAAAGCACGCTCCTAATCCTAGTAGCGTAAACACGGCTATGCTAAGGGGAGCCGCGAACGACGGTGCCGCGAGCCATAGTTGAATGATTTTGACTGGATGAATGAGGCTGGAGTTTGATGAATGAGAGTGACGGTCCTTCTGAGATCGGGCATAGGTATAGGCAGGTACTTGAGGACGGTGTGGATTAGTCGCCAGAAGAATAAGAGGTTAGCTGAAGTAGGAGCTCGTCAACCAGGCTCCCGATGTTTCGGGGAGAGGAAATATATAGACGTTTGTGTTGCGGGTGGGTTCGACGTACTTGATATCCAACTGTTCCGCCTCCATTTTCTCCCTACCGTCTCCACTCCCATCGTTGTTAGTGATGTGCGGGCTCGGGCTCAAAGCCTTGAGCTGGCCGTGAAAAGCTGGGCCTAGCCCGAGCCGTGTACATAGGGCTTGAGCCTCGGGCTTGGAATGTTCAAAACATGAGCCGTGATATGAGTGATGGTTAAACCTTCAAGCCACAAAACTGGGCGAAAAAATACAAGTGTGCTCGATTGAATTTTCGCCCAATATGGCTTTGTCATGATCTGAGTGACGAGTCAGGTCACAAAACTGTACAGTTCTGAAAGCCGTTGACGTAGGTGACTGAAAGCTGTTTGTCATGAATGCCGAGTCCGGGGCGAGGGCCGTGCGTCTGTTTGCATTTATGAGGACGGCCAAG